AAGGGGTCCTACATGCAATAGTGAAAAAGCATACCACGCCTACATACATACATACATACATACATACCTACCTACGTACGTACGTACGTACATACATACATGCATGCATGCATGCATGCATGCATATATATATATATACATACTAAAAGGCTGACGTCGTGTTCAAGTTAACGAAAAACTGAAGTCCATCAACTAAGGAAAGAGCGGCGTCCAGATCCGGGCAACTGGGAAGTTCAGGCAAAATCCAAGTGAAGCCTATGCTATGCGGAATGAGCATGGCTTGACAGGTCTAGTCGCCCTTAAGTAGATAGAATATGGGGTATACGGGGATCTTATCATAATATACTCAAAGCCATAATCTGTCTACTTAAGGGGGGACTATAACTCTTGTCAAGCTTAGCCCTGAAACAACCTAAGCTGGCCCCAAAACCATCCAAGTTTGGGGTAGGGTTTGGTGTTTCGAGTACAAGCCCAAATCACATTCCCCATGCGAAACGGACGCAGAATGGGTGCCATGCGGTGGCCTGTTGGAAGAAAGAAGACACCATCAAGTACCTCAGGGCAACTTTCAAATCTGAGTTCTTCCGGGGGGATGCGTTTAACCGCGGTTGAGAGTTTTCGGTCTAAGGTTTGGGAGACACAACAAGTTGTTGAGAAAAAATGGTCACGATTGGGGCTGAGGTCGGTCGGTTGTTAATCCTCTGACCTGAACAATAACCCACCCACACCCCTCAGTTATAAATGCTCCGAAATAATATCGTTATATACTAGGCCGATAAATCCATTCTTAGGGGGTGGGGGCTTATCACTAGGGCCACTCGGGTTAAGCGTCGAATCTTTTCCATTTGATTCATCGTTACCTCCAAATGATAAAGCCCTAAAGCCTAAAACCCTAAAACCTAAAGAGTAGAGTAAACCCTACAACCCTATGACTTGCCCAGGTGCTTCTTCTGTGCCACCATGGACTCCCAAATGCTTCGCCGCAGTACACCAAATCGCTCCTGTCACAAGGTTTGAGGGTTTTGTGGGTTTAGGGTTTAGGGGTTTACGGTTTTGTGGGTTTACGGGTTCAGGGTTTAGGGCGTCCTGCCGCGTGGCGGCTGGAGGTGATCTGCAGATGGGGCCCCAACACGCCCAGGCGTGTGGAGGGGGGACCGGCATTTGTTGCGAAGGCACATCGTCAATCAAAAGCCCAACAACCAGAATGCCATTCATGGGGGGGGGGGGTTGTTAATCACCAGCAAAAGTTGAAACACACGCTAGGACATTGATAGTACACCATTTTTTCCCTCTCCGCATGTGGAACCGCCGGTTCACGTGACCCCTGAACGCTAAACCCTGATCGAAGCCTGTGAAACCCAAGTTCGTAGCATTTTTTAGTAGTAAGAGGACATTCTTCCTATAAAGTACTATACCCGGACGGCGGATATGATCTGACTCTCTATTGGGGACTATAGCATCCCGTTTAATTAGGGTTTAGGGGTTGAGTGGTTTAGGCCTCAGGGGTTTGGTGGTCTAGGGGTTTTCTGGTTTAGGGTCTAGGCAAATGCTTCCCACTCTTCGACCCTTCGCCTCCAATGCAGTTAGATGACTTGAAGGCTAAAGAGCGATCATAGATCCCTGCGAAGACATCAGAGGGCCGAGTGGTCACATAAACAGAACATACCTGAGAGGGGAATCTACGCAGGAGCCTGTGGGTAACGCCCCAATGTCAGCGCCTACCCATATCAATTTGAGGCCAATCTCTTTTTACCCTATACTACAAGAATACCAGGAATCTAGGACCATACTCCGGGCAATTCTTCCTATCAACTCCTCAACAAACCTCAGTTTCCATGTGATCTTCCTTTTTCCTTTCCGTTTTAATCTCCACTATTGCTATATAATGTTGGTATTCATGTAAAGCTGCTACTTACTCACCCTCAACCGCAAACACAAAACCCTGAACCCTAAACCCTAAACCCCTAAACCCCTCAACATCTAAACCCCTAAACCCTAAACCCCTAAACCCTAAACCCTAAACGCAAACAAAAAACCCTGGACCCTACGAAGCCTTCAGGCGGCCAAGATGAACCGACTCACTGCGGGCCAGGGCCTCTAGCAAAAAAAATAGGGTTTAGGGTTTA